CATGCCATGGCCTCTCCAGCAGACTTCCATCAAATGCTGTGAGATGGTTCTCTCCCCTGTTTCAAGAGCTCTGGTGTACCCCTAAGGAATAGCACTGGGGCTACTCAGGCCGTTCTCTAATGCCAAGCTGGACAGAAGAGCATGCAGACCCCTGTATGATGTTTACAGGCTTCAGAACACAAAATAAATATTTTCCAGTCACTGTGATTAAATTTTCCAATCTGGAAAAGATGTAATTTCTATAATGCCAGGGAGAAAACAGAATGCATAAAATAAAACACTCTTCCCACTGAATGTTAGTGTGCCAAGCCTGTTATGAAAGAGAAAGTGTTTTGTTTTAGTATCACTTGCACACTGAATATGTGTGCTTTTGTGCTAATTTTAGCAGGCTTTTCTGTGACATATGGCAGAGCTGGCATTTGACTTTCTTTGTTCCTGGAATCCAGATGTTCTGACACTTCTGTTTACCTTCATCGTTGTGACCAAAACTAGTTCTACCTCCAGCTTCAGAGAGTTCTATTTATAATTCTGTGAGTGTCTCATTCCAGGTTCACTGAGCTACAGTGCTGCTGAGAGCTGGCACTCTCCTGAAATGACTAAACACGGCTGCTTAAGGTGCTTGCTGCGTCTTTACTTTTTTACAATAAGAGCGACCAGCAGTCAAATGAGTCATTTGGTTTTATTAAACCAGAGGTGTGTGTTGTGGAAACTTCATCTTCTCTGAATCTCTGTGCCTTCTGGAAGAAAAAAGACCCAATCTTTCTGCTTGGAGTCATCGCCAGCACCTGCCCAGCACAGCCCTGGACAGGCCCTGCACCGGCTGATGCACGACACCAGGCAGCAGGATGCAGGGAGCTGTCCTTAGAAGTGAGACTGTGCAAAGAAGGGGCCTTGCACATTTGGGATGTTACTCCAATTATTACTTTCCTTCCCCATTTAGATTCAGTGGTATTTTATAGGCCACACTAAAAGTCAGTTCGGCAGTGTCTGCTCTTTATCTTCAAATACTGAAAAATCCCATAAGAAGACTGAATATCAACTAATTCTTTAATTATATATTTTAAAAAACCCAGAAAAACAAGGTATCATTTTGACTTGCTTTTAGTTTGTCTGTCTCTGTGTCTGTCTGTCTGTGTCTGTCTGACTCTCTCTCTCTCTCTCTCTCTCTCTCTCTCTCTCTCT